GTCATAAAACAATTTGTCATATTTAGCTAATATAAAAAAATGCTGTGGATTTGTGTATTAAGTCAGCCTCGTGATTAGTTATTTCGTTTGGATGCTAATGTCCTTTGATACAGGTTCCTTACCCTCGAGGGACGGTGCCAGTCGGTTGGCAGAGCAACCGTTGGCAAGGGAAGTTCGGTTTTGGAATATTCAATGCAGCACCAACCAAATCAAAAATAAAGATTGGTGATCGAATTAGTAACACATCTCCCACCGGTGCCAGAGGTTTGTGTTATATAGGATTATTATAGGATTGTGAATGCTGATTTTTTTCTAGATAGGGAAACCCCACCTCACTTCGCATCACACAAAATTCTTTCATCTCCTTCCCTCCAAAAATGTTTGGAAGGAAACTGCCATCAATACCAGAAAGAGTGATAACAGTGGACTGAAGGAATTTAATTTCTTGAAAAGCTGCTTTAAGAAAAAGATTTTATAAATTTCAACCTGACAATGACATCAAAAGTTCGGCTATAGAATGCTGTATGTTCCCTGTACAGAAATGGCTTATCTCACTAATACCAGTTAACTAAATGTGGTATCATTCTATCATCCCAGGGACTATCGGATTTCTTTTGCGTTGCTTTACCTTTAAAAGAGTCAGATAGACAAACCATTTTAGCAATTTCCGCTATACCTGTGCTAGAGCTATCCAATCTCCACTTTCTAGCCTTGAGAGAGCACAAAAAACTTTACGCTGTCTTATTTGTTTTCCATTCTGTAACCTCTTTCTTACAGACTCAATGTTGCAAGCTTGTCGCTGCTCTATTGTTATTTCAGTTATTCCCATGGGTAGCCTAACGGTTATCGACACAAAAAAGCGGAAACAGCAAGCCGAGTTCAAATTCTGGCCTAGTCTGATGGGTTCAATTTAGATATTAATTTAGGTATGAAGCTTTCTCTTCCCACATTACCAGCTACGGCTTAAACATCAGATTCGATTGGTCTCTCTAGTAAAGGGAAAAAAGAAAACTATGAATCCCAAAACTGAAGAAGGAAAACTGAATTCCAAACCTTATAAGGGTAGCGGGAAATCAATGAACTACCACTCCCAAGAAGACACGGATATTCACAATAAAGAAAGTGAATCTGTAGAGAGTCGTGATCGCTAACATCCTGATGGAATATAGTATTAAAATGAATAAGATGCGCAGGTATCATGGTTTTGTTTGCAGATAGAACGAAAACCGCAAAAATTACTAGAGAATGAAGTAAAGGAAGACGAAAAAAAAAAAGGACCAACTGTAATCTATATAATAAATGCGAATGTCAGTGTGTCACACGTTTTCAACTTTACTCCTAAAGGCCGTAGCTCAACATACCATACCATTTTGGAATCAAGTCGACTCTGTGAACAAATTAAAAACATTCTGGGCCCGGATCCGGATCCGCGAAATTTTGGATTCCCAAATTTTTATTACTGCGATTGTTTTCGGATTCCACCATGTTGGCTTCTACTGATATAAACAATTAAAGGGACACAACTCTAACTTTCAATAGCTCATGTTCAAATGAAAGAAATACTGTTCTCAAATTATAGTGTTTATTAATAAATTGTCCGTGTTTTCAACTTTACTCTTAGATGCAGAAACCCAACATATACCATTTTGGAATCAGGCCTATTCTGTGAGCAAATTAAAATCATTCCGAGCCGGATCCGGATCAGCAATCTTGAAATTTTGGATTCCTAACTTTTCATTACTGCGATTGTTTTCGGCGAATTTTTTACGTGTTTTTTGCGAATTTTTTTAACGATAGCAACTTTATAACTTGAAAATAATACAAATCAATTGCAAAATCCAGTGAAAATCACCCATGTAATAAAAATAATTGTTTGTACGAAAAGTAAGGACCTACGTACATCAAACTGTCTTTAAATTAAGTGACGACAGAAGAATTATTGTTGAACTTTTAAAAGGTAAGCTTAAATATTAATGCAATACTTAAAATGCAGCGAACAATTTTAAGTTCTTCTGTAGTTTATTGTTGCCTATCAACATCTACTCCTCCCTACCTCTTGTGATGAAAGCCCAATCAAGAGCCCTCCGCAGGACCTAATTTAAATGCTGCCAGATAAGGCGGCTTTTTAGCTAGTTTATAATAAAACCGAAGTATGATCGTTAGAAAGGAGTGTAAATGAAGATGCAAGCTACAAATTGGAGGCTTCAAAATCGAAGTCAAGCAAATACACAAATTTAAAAAAATCGGGATGTATTATAATAGAGGATGGAAAATGTAACACAGAAATCCGACGGAACGTTGTAATAGTGAAAGGTACATTCCAAAAGTTAAACAAAGTATAATCCTGGATAATTTTCTCGCAAACGAAGATTCGACTAGGGACAGCAGAGTTATGGTTCTACAGAAAGAAGAAAAGATTGATGCACTCAACATGCGAGTGACGAGTAAAGTTCAAAAGATACCTGTTCTTAGAATCAGGAAAAGATAATTGAAATTTTGGGGACTCATAATTAGGAAAGAGGGCTTGGAGAATTTAACGCTTACAGAGCGTACTGAATTCAAGAGTAGGAGAGGGAAGCATCGAGTAACCTATGTAAAATTATAGAGAAGTGGTTCTATAGAAGCAAGCTAAGAATACTATGGCCAGAACATGTGAGTGACAAGAAAATATAGCATTAAAATCAATGAAAAATCTGATATGATAATGTCAGGGTAATATGTAAGTTTCTAAGTAGGAATTGTTCTAGCTTATTAACATGTGTGTAAGTTGCTTTTGCACGTAGTTGCAGCTGAATATTAATTTGCCTTTTGTTACTAAAATGAGGGCTAAGATTTCTGCTGAAACAAAAATGAAAGTTATGTATTCTCGGGAAAGATGACTAAACGAAAGATAGCCAGTTGGCTGGGAATTTCTAGAAACTTGATTTTTATACTGAAATCTTTTTAAGTACAAAGAAAACAGGAAGATCACAAAAGGTAGAGAAGAGAAATTAAATAAAAATCTTGAGTCAGTACGCAATCCAAAACAGCCAAACAAGTGAGGAGTAAGTGCAGTCTTAAAAGTGAGACTTCTGTTGATAGATTACGCAGAGAATTACAAAAAAAATAACCGGAAGTCTTATAGAAGCGAAAAACATCATTAAAAAAAAAAAAAAAAAAAAAACACCAGAAAAGAGGTTTGAAAAGAGGTTTAACATGATGGTTGCAAAAAGTAATTTTTAGTGATGAATTCTAATGCAAGAGAATATGTAAGAAGTCCAGTAGGATCAAGAAACAATGAAAGATTCACCACAAAGAACGTAAAATTTGGTCGTGGACACGCAATGGTGTGGGGTTGCAACAAACGCGATGGTTGAAGAAAATTGGTAAAAGTTGAGAAAAACCTAAACAGCGAAAACTATATTAGTTTATTACGGTCTAATCTTCTGCCAGACTCCGAAGATGGGGAGATTTTCAGCATAACGGTGATCCTTGCCATCAAGAGCAATAGAAAGGTTTCTTGTGGATGAGGATGTTCAAATTTTGGAAGATTCGTCAGCACAAAGTTCTGATCTCAATATAATTGAACCATTGTTGTGGGAACTGAAGAAACATGTTCAATTAAAATCACGCAATCTCCAACAACTTTGTGATTACTGTTCAGAAGAATGGGAAAAAAATCAAAAAACAAAAACAAATGAGAATATCTGAATCTCGTTCCATTCAATGCCACTTCGAATTGAGGCAATTATTCGAGCCAAAGGCAGCAGCACTAATTACTAACTTTGGCACTTTCTGTAATAATATCGATAATTTTTTCAGCAAAAATATTCCTTTTTAACATAAGAAAAGAGCTGAACTGCAAAATATTCGCTGGTGGCCCAGTATTTTTGCATGACCATTTTCAGCATCACTAAGCTTAACATTCACAATCATCCGTCATACAATATTAACGAAAACGCATAACTTGTTTTCTGGTCATCAAAGATGATAAAATGTGCCGAGAAAAGCATACTGCTACTCACTCGATTTGGGGTTAAAATTAATAAACCTAATTAATTTATCAAGGTGGTCTAAAAGTTTTGCACACCCGTAGATAATTGCGGTGGATATTAATAGGTTGAATAAATTTAATTTTTACAGGAAATGCCAACACAGGTCCAATGTGAGAACCCTTTAATTCCGTGGTCGGCAAATATTGCCATCATGGTTATTTCCAGGTATGCCGTCGAAACTTTACTTATATAACATTACCTGGGAAAGAAGACAGTAATTAGATTACAATTTCTTTTTTGCATTAAAGAAAGAAGGCAACATCTATGCAAAGATAACTTGAATGCAATTGGTTTGAGCTAAATTTGTTTAGGAAAAATCCACTCAATTCGACATTAGTTAAAACTTCAACTTTACATCATCAGAGGAAATTAACTAGTTTCTGCCGACCGCTAACGAGATAATTATAAATAGAAGTCCTGCTCGTATTTATTGGCGGGTACAATCTTAACAACATATGATGCGCAGATGACACTGTGTTGATGGCGAATACTCAGATGATAATGTGTTGGTGGTTAATAGAAAAAAAAAACTGCACGAACCCTTAGACAAGGTAGTAAAGGAAAGTGAGAAGAAAGGACTAACCATTGTCTGTAAGAAGCCAGAATAATAGGTTGTTAGAAAAAAGATATAGTTCTAGACGTAAACTACGAGTTGGAGACATCTAAATCAAGTATGCTATAAAAGGTGACTGAAAATACGCCACGGAAGTCCGACTGGAATAATAAAAGATAACTTCCATAAAGTATATACATGATAATATTCTCGCTGCTGAAGATTAGACTTGAAATGACACATACGAGGTTTTACACATGAAAGATAAGAATCCTATGGGCAGAATATCTGAGCGACGAGAAAATTTTAAGGAAATGGAAAGAAAAAGGGCATTTATGCTTAAAATCAGAAAGAGACAATTGTAATTTCTGGGATAAATAATAAGGAAAGAGAGCTTGGAGAATTTAGCACACCCAAGACATAATGAATAAGAGAGAGAGAGAGAGAGAGAGAGAAAGAGAGAGAGAGAGAGAGAGAGAGAGAGAGTAAACCATCGAAGGAAATTTTGTAAATGGATGGCAGAACAGGGACTGGGAAGGATAGTAAGTGGACAAACAATACTTAGAGTTACAAAGGACAGAATGTTGCAGAGAGCCATGATCGCCCATGTCCAGAGGAGACATCGCACATAAAAGAATGAATAAACCATATATGCTAATATGTTTTTCTTTCTTACCAATAAGCGAGTCCAGTGAGTATATTTTGTTCCTTTAGCTTACAAAGTTATTTTGATCAACAATTATTCAGATTTGATATAACACATTTATCATATCTAAAAATCTTAAACTGCAAGATGTGTGTTGGTCAGATGAAATATTGTATCTAATGCCAGGTTGTTGGACGTGTGCCAAGTCTGAGTAATAGTCGCATCACTTTATAGTATTTGCCGTTTAGAATTTGTAATTACTTATTCAATCTGGCAAAAACTTGTGGGATACAGTCGATGTTCTTATTTATAGATGCTGCTTTGTTTTAGGCTGAAAACATTCATATTATGATGAGGTCGATGTCCTCATTGTAACTCGTGATTATCATTTGAATAGTTCGCGAAAAAAAAAACTACCTACAACTTCTGGCAAGAATAAATCAGTATGTAAATTTTAAAAAAATATACTCAGCCAAGAGACACTCAAGGTAGAGGGTTAGTGAATATGGAATTTTTCTATGAACGTAAAAGGAAGAAGTGAAGGTTATGAAAATATGCAGGATAGATAGCAACAGACCCTAGGCATCTAGAGGTTAAGATTGCAGTGTTCAGGGAAGCATTTGTACGAGAGTCTATTCCACACAGTGACAGTTCTTTGAAAGAAGCTTTTGAAGTGGAATTGCCTTCTTTTTAATGGAATATGGTGGGAATGAGGAGGCAGTTATTAGCTGAAATGGTCTGAATTGGTGGTACTAAAGAATGGAACTCGTTTGAATATTGGCTATGGAAATATCGATAAACTTATAGGCTTGTGACATTTTGTGTGCAGGAAAGGAGTTGTAGGGTGGAAAATAATTCATCACCCACAAGGTTGTGAAAACGATCTGAACTTTGTCAACGCTAGAAAATGAGGATTGGACAGGTCAAATTTAGATATGACAGCAATGTTCGAAGTATTCTGCTTTTGAAATTAAAATAATTGTTCACTCACCAGTAGCTTACCTTCGCCCGAGAAGACACATGTGTAGTGTTGAAACATAATTATAATTATGTAGCGATTTTTAACATGTTTTTGTTTTAAACCCTAAAATAATAATATTTAGGTCTACTCTGTATTGAAGCCTCTTTTAAGAGGAAGTATTCTATATATATATATATATATATATATATATATATATATATATATATATATATATATAACGATATATATTTATATATCAAGAACATTTTTGTCCTTCAGGACTTCATCGGACTAAATTTGTTATGATGGTAGAACTACACATGAACGCGACAGAGGGTGCTGGAAATAAAATAAATATAAATTCTCAGCACCCCTCGTGTGTGGTCCCATTATATATATATATATATATATATATATATATATATATATATATATATATATATATATATATCAATATTAATAATTTCTTTCTTCATTCAACAATGATGTTATTAAACTTATGAGACGTTACAAAAATATTTACATAAAATAAATAGACAATACTTGTCTATATTATTTAATGAAACGTGCACGAATGAAAAGATGCTGCCTAAATACACACACAATAATATATATATATATATATATATATATATATATATATATATATATATATATATAATAACAATGTTTGTTTCAGTAAGAAAATGTCGACCAGTAAATAAATTACAAATATACACAAATCATGTATGCAATACTGGAAAGATTACGCTTCAAATGCAAGGAGTCATTGTAAATATTGTCTAATTATTAAGAAACAGAGTATTAACAATAAACAAATTAAACTGAAAATAAAAAGTTCAAAACTTTTTAATTTTGATTTTACTTTAATGAATACATATACATATATATATATATATATATATATATATATATATATATATATATATATATATATATATAATTTAGATATTTATAACACGTAATATAGAGAACTGTAATTTATATTGTTATCGAAAGCATCCCAAGAATGCTTTTATACTCACCGGAAGAGACATATCTGCGCCGTTATCAGACCAACTTTTGATCTGACTATCGGATCAAGGCCTTTTACAAGACTTCGAACTCCGCCCGAAAATTGATATTCTTGTTAGGCGTGCAATTGTCTGAAAACTAAGAGTTTTTTTTTCTGTTAAATCACATAAATAAACGAACAATTTTATCTCAGGCGAAAACTTCCGTTCTGCTCCAAGAATCTCCTGAACTGTAAAAAAAAATAGTGTAGTAATAAAGATTCAACAACTTCAAAGCCTTTTTCTTTCTGGGGATAAAACTAAGAACAACTAAACCATTTTTAGAGTACACGGATTAATATTAATCCCAGTACGACTTCGAGCCTCTTTTGGGGACTGATTTATTTACATATCATTTGGTAATCGCAAGAAATACTTAAGCAAATACATTTTATTCTTTGCTGTTATAGCATTGGACATCATGCGACATAATTTAAATTTCTATTATTCTATTCATCATGTATATATATATATATATATATATATATATATATATATATATATATATATATATATATATATATATATACATGGTTTGTTAAATTCAACCCACAACGTCGATCTGTGGAAATGATGCATCATTTTCCACTCTAAAATGGGAAAAATGCAATAAAAAATTAAATAGACAGACCTTGTTGATTGAATTTAACAGAACTTAATTGTATCACTTTTTACTACTTAATTGTGAAATTAATGTCTACCGGCCTAGAGATCGAAAATCCTAAAGAAAATATGACTCATAACAGGAATCGAACCTATATTAACTTTTTAATAAGAGAAAACATTTTATATATGCGTTTGTTTCATATAAATATATATATATCCCTATTATTATTATTATTATTATTATTAAACAGTGAAATTAATAACAACCGGCCTAAATTAAGAAGTCCTACTGAAGAGAAGTTGTACTGTGAATTGAACCTGCATACCTTTTTTGTCTTAGGGAAACCACTCCTTAATTCAAAGTATGCCTCTACCTATTAGACCATTTACTGTTACATGCATTTGTATGCATGTGAGTAAAGTTGGTTGAGAATTCTACGAAAAAAATATGATCTCTATTAAATGTTACTAAAGTTTATGAAAAAACAAAACAAAACAAAAAAACAACAACACGAAAGCAATAAGGAGATGCAAAACTTTAACCAATCAATAAGAGAACTAATATTTTAAAAAAATAACACGTAAGAACGCATGGTTACGATTAATAGTATAGTGCCCAAAGATATCTAGATTCTAGGGCTTACCAAAAACAAACAAATGTAATCTATTATCTTTGGTATGTTGTTATCAAAACATTTAGGACGTTGTGCCCTTCAGAGAATTTCGCACTGAACCCTTTATTCAATACATGGTACTAGATTGTTCTCGTCCCGCTGTCCATGTCCAGGGATATATCGTCTAGTTCTAATTTATTACTACTCAGTTATCATTGGCACCGCTTTCATTAGTTTCAAATATACACTACCCGGCCATGGGATTGAACTCACAATTACTATGTCAAAAGATTCATGAAACGACACTAGGCTATTGTCCCGTGGTGATATCTCTGGTATAAGCAGCACTTCTCACAAATTAGCAAAAGCCTTGTTTGAAATGTTAACATCTCTCTTAGGAACAACCAGCTCTTCACATCTTAAATATTCTAGTTTTTTAATACGGAAAAATATAAATATGAAAAATATTATGTGAGAATAATCAAGAAGTGGGAGCAAACCGCCTGCATACGGAAAGATAATGAATTATTTACATTGTTCAGGCTGTTGTCCTCGTCTTTATTGTCATATTCACGACGTTTCGGTCGTTGTACGCTCCGGCCTTCTTCAGGTAATTGAAATTTCGAATTGAACCATTTATTTCGTATTTACTGGTAGATTGTTCTAGTTTTACGTGCCATGACTCTTCCGGATGTCTCAGTTTACTCAACTTTCCAAGTTTTTGTTCATCACTGCAGTAGCCAGGTATTGAACTTACATTTGTGCTGATTCCTTAATCAGCACATATGTTAGGCCACAGAAATCTCCTAAGGTGGCCAAGGATAGAAATGAATACAATAAGGGTACCAGTAATATGGAGTACTAGAGAAAAGCAATAATAACAACAAAATTGCAATATGAGCTCTGGTAAAAAAGGTTACGGAGGCATTACACTGATGTCACCAAGGTCTCATGTCCCAGTGGGTAAATGTGTTGGTTGGATCCTTTGACTTGACCCAAATAGTTGTGAGTTCAATACCTGGCTACATCAGTGTTGAACAAAAACTTTGTGGGTTGAGCTAAAGGGAGATAACTGAGGCATCCGGACAGTCTACAGATAACTAGAATAATCTACCAATAAATACGAAATAAAATTTCAGTTCGAAAATGAAATCACCTGAAGAAGGCCGGAGCGTAAAACGGCCGAAACTTAGTGAATACGACAATAAAGATTTACAATACCTCATCTCAGAAATATAGGCACAAAAACATGAAAAACAAGGATGCATCTTCTCGTCGTATTTATTCAACATCTTTTTATCGGTGGGCGCACTCTTAACAATATAAGGTAGGCAGATGACATAAGCAACGAGGCAATTTTAAGTAAAATGAAAAAAAAAAGAGACAATTATACAGTAAATTAGGAACAGGCCTGGAAAATTTGACACTCACAGGGCATACTGAAGACAAGATTGGCAGAGTAGAGCATCGAGTAACCTACTTGAGCTTGTGTAAATGAATGACAAAACAGAGACAAGGAGGGATAGTAAAAATACAAACATTGCTAATAAGTACAAAGGCTTGGGAGTGGTGCAGAGCCATGACCACCCACGTTCAGAAAATTCTGTACAAAGAA